TAGTCATAATTAAAAATATTTGTCAGATTTAATTTACTATATAGGCAACCATATATTTGAATACAGGTATTACAAGTTGCCTATCTAATACCAATTTGGCTGCTGTGTTGAAGTTAGTCGTGTGTAAAAAACAAGAAATATTTTACCGACATCTGCAATACTTTTTAAAATAATATGTTTTCTGAATATTTACAGAAACTTCTTCCAGCGTATTTTCTGCACATGTAGGCTCATTTTTCAAATTTCTCGATATTATAATATGTACATACTCTTCACTCTTTAACATTTTGATGTAAGTATATTAAAATTATCCAATTATTAGAGATATTTAGAACATCTTACTTAAAACTCTAGTGACACCAGTAAATACAAATAACGTATTACGCAAAATTATTTTAATACTATTATTTGCAACGTAACACTTCAGTAATAAAGGGCGAAAAACTACCTAAGGTGATTATAAAAAAAAGATGCCGTATTAGAAGTAAAACTATAATCAATTCCTGAAATTAAAATTAAGTTTCCTTTACTTCTAATTCGAATAATACTGATCACAATATTCAAATAATAGGCCAAACAAATAAAATTTTTACTCGAAAAAATTCCTATCCGCGAGATTATTGTAATATTGTCTAAAGGAACATAATACAAGACATCTCTCATCTCGTGAGTCAAAAAATTTTATTAGCTAACTTTTCTAGTTAAACAAATAAGTGAGGAAAACAGTTTTTTCACTTTGCCGGGAAAACCATCAATTTTAACGAAAAGTGACTCACGGACAGCTCGTAGGGTATAAAATTATCTACAAAATGAGACTTGTTAAATTAAAATCGGTTAATATACAAAAAAGTTATTGCAGAAAAAACAAGAAAAGTGCCCAGTTTTTAATTTGTTTATAACTATCGCATTTATTGTTAAAATTTTATAAAACCTATGACAAGTTGAGGGTTTTGTCATAATTCAAAAGTGTGCCAAAAGTGGGCGATGTAGGTGCAATAGTTTTCGCAAAATTCAATTTGTTTATAACGCAGGCTTCAAAAGTTATGAACTTTAAGCCTCTGTACAGGCGTTAATTTTCAACCAAACATGATTCTGAAAGCGTCATTGTAATCTTAAAGACGTAATTAAGTCACCTATTAAAAATATCACCGTTTTTTGACATTAACATTCTCAAATTGTGCATGAGAAAACCGTGCGTTTTTCGCTTATAAACAATTTGAATAAAATTGTTGTTATTTATGCAATCTCATCGAAAATAGATGCAATGGATAGCTGACAAAAAAATACAGTTTTAAAATAAAAAAAGTACACTCTACGACCAACAGGAGCCAAGATAAGAATTTTTTTTAAATTAAGACTTTTTACGACGTAAACTACGATTTCCCGTGAATTGCATTGAAAAATGTGGAAAATTAACGACTCACGAGCCCTTTAAAGTGAAGGTACTTGCTAAGTAAACTGTCCGGCGCCGGCGTGGTGATGGGGGGAGATCCAAAGTTCAAATTGATGCGCGCTGTAAAATTTTGTAAAATCTCGGCTTCTATTCATCGTAGAAACTTATTTTTTTTTAAACCGGGGTAGCTCGACGAAAAAATAACAATGGGCATATTTACGAATTCGTAGAATAGCCCTGAACCCCAGAAAAAATGCATCTTTTATACTTACTACTTTTTTAATTTACAAAAATTATTGTTAAAGGAAATATTAATTAAAATTTTAATGTCGGAATTATTTTACTATTATTAAATAAATAAAAATACTATAATTTTTTTTGTTTCTTTTTTTTTCGCTAATTTTCCTAGTCTATAATGCATGTGCTTTGTAAATAAAACTTTAGTTGGTTTAAAAAATTAAGGTTTAATTTTCTGAAACACCCTATATTCTATCACAACAAAAATTGATATAGTAGCATTTTAGATAGTCCCGAATAAGATTCCGGTGCAGTTTTTGTCAAAAAAAAAATTCACTTATATTTTCGTTTTTTCTTCCTATCTCAGTTGGCCATGACTGAGACCACGAAAATACCGAAATTATACATTCTACTCCTTTCTCTGAGATCTATCAAACAAAAAAAGTTGAAACAAATCGGTCAATAAATAACAATTTTACATGGGTGGCTAATTCTTAAATGGGACACACTGTATATTTATCACCATCATGATCTATTTTAATACGTACGCTTTTCTTTCTCTATCTAAAAACACTGAAAGCGACTGAAAAAATCAAGGTGCCGATGGCGAATGAATTTGCTGGTTTACATATGCTGGAGCATACGTATCAAGTGAAGTGGTCTAAATTTATATCCGTCCGTACACCAATCAATTAACACACAAAATAAATTTTACGTGTTCAAAATACGTTCGTAGACATAACTAAAATAATTAAATTATCCACAGAATATAACCTTGCCGGTTGTGTAAATGGGAATGTTACGATACAGTCTTTAATTAGTAACTGAATCAACGGTCGCCGATGCATAATATTACTCCCATTAACATAAATATGACATCATCGTCGTAAACAACAACATGAACAGGGCAGAACTTCTCGTTCGTTGGGTCCACTAATAAAAAATTTAGAACCTTCGAAAAAATGCACCTTTTGAAATCATAAAATTGGTGTTGTCTTTTTAGTTTGGTATGTACGTTTTTTTTTACTATATAATTATTAATAAACAGAAAGAATAAGATTTTTGCATTTTGTATTTAAAATTCTGTCAAATTTGCAGAATGAGACTCCTAATAATACTTACTGACTCCCGTTAACCCTGCCACTGGTTGACAAATTCAGTGAATTGCACAATGAGTGGGTGGATGGGAGGCTAGAGCTGTGCTCTAGGCTTGAGGCAATGTGTGGTATAGTTTTTCCTAAGTCAATTGAAGAACCAATATCTTCAAGGTATGTACCAGGCTCGGTCGCTAAGCAGCAACTCGGCATTGAAATATTTGAAAAACTTTCCCATATTTATTTAGCCATACGCATATATAGCGTGGCCCACTAGTATAGGAAAGTCCAATATCTATATTAAAATGAGGAGTATATGGATTTTCCTTTTTACAGTGTTGCCACATTTCTCGGATGTACAAATTAAAAATATAATCAACTATAAAGGGTGTTCCACTTTTTCTGGCCAGACACCAACTTCGTTTTTTTAAATGGAAACATGCATTTTTTATATTTTTTCGGATTCTACATCAAAAATAAAGGGTACTTTGTGTAGAATAGTTCAAATATTCACAGTTTTTGAGATATCTCGCTTGAAAGGTTTTTCTAGTCGATATTGGCTGCTTACATTTTCTGATACTGACAGGTTATACTAATAGCTACTAAGTTAATTTTTTTATCAGGTGTTTAGTTAAGGATGACTATTCCGAATCATGATCCCAAACCTGACCTGCGTTATACAGGGTGATCAAAATATTATGTCAAAATTGCCAATTGAAAAATTTAAAAATCTCGAATTTTTTAAATGCAACACCCTGTATGTTTTCATACCATGAGATGCAGTAGGCTTCTGTCAAAGGATAATCTGGAAAATTGTCGATTCACATAAGGTTTAATAGAAAAGCGACAGTAATAATAGTGAAATGAATTACTCTAAAGAAGAATTAGTAAATAAATAATAGAATAATTAGTAAGGTTCGTGGTAACTGTTTATTGACAAGTATTTACCAAACTAATAATCCAGATTTACAAAGATAGCCTCGTATTAAGTGTTTTGTAAAACTGAAGGAGAGGTTTGAAAGAACAGCAAATGCAAATTATGAGAAGACAACAAGAACATACGTATGCAGTATCCAAAACAGTAAATTAACATCGTGCATTTCTAACAAAAGTAATAAAGACCTAGTTAAATTAGTAATTAACAGGTAACCGCTCAAAATGTCTGCCAATTTTCTCTAGACATTGAGCAATTCTACGACGAAAATTGGTAAATACTTGTCAATAAACAGTTACCATGAGTTTTACTAATTATTCTATTATTTATTTACTAATTATTCTTTAGAGTAATTCATTTCACTATTATTACTGTCGTTTTTCTATTAAACCATATGTGAATCGAAAATTTTCCAGATTTACCTTTGACAGGAGCCTACTACGTTATTTTACATTGTATAGCTATTTGTAAACTTCGCATTTTGTCATAGAAATGAGATTTCATGAAAAACTAATGAATTTTGGTATAGGAGCGGGGATAGCAAACTTGTAGAGAATTTAATTCTGCATCTCATGGTATGAAAATATACAGGGTGTTGCATTTAAAAAATTCGAGATTTTTCAATTGGCAATTTTGACATATTTTGGTCACCCTGTATAACGCAGGCCAGTTTTTGGAACATGATTCGGAAGAGTCATCCTTACTAAACATCTGATAAAAAAATGGGCTTAGTAGTCATTAGTATAACCTGTCAGTATCAGAAAATGTAAGCAACCAATATCGACTAGAAAAACCTTTCAAGCGAGATATCTCAAAAACTGTGAATATTTGAATTCTACACAAAGTACCCTTTATTTTTGTTGTAGAATCCGAAAAAAATATAAAAAATATGTGTTTCCATTTAAAAAACGAAGTTGGTGTCTGGCCAGAAGAAGTGGAACACCCTGTATAGTTGAATATATTTTTAATTTGTACATTCCGAGAAATGTGGCAACACAGTAAAAAGAAAAATCCATATACTTCTCATTTTAACATAGATATCGGACCTTCCCGCACTAGTGGGACACGCTGTATAGGACCAGTTGCTTTTCGACTGAAAATGGAGCTTACCTCATCCCATTTAACGCCACGTGTTCTAAATTTTATTTTCCCCGCATACTCCTATGGTTTAAGGATATAGAGTTGTAATTGTACAGGTATGGACAATAAAAAAACTACAACTTTTATACTCCTTTATAAACATTGTAAATCGGGAACCATTTTATTGTCCACAACTTAAAATCCTCAAGTACGCTCCTGCGCGCGGCATCTCGACGGCGTCGCTAACGCTCGCCGGCCCCGTCAGAACAGAAGTTCCACACCGTCCTTTTCGTGACCACGTGACCCACTCGTCCTCCCACGTATCCGTAACGGAAACGAGGCACAGTATTCGAATAAGCTACTCGAAAACACCTCAGTACAGAAAAACGCTCAACATTTACAAAAAAAAATGAATAAAGTAGTGTTCGCCTTCGTTTGCGTCGCTATCCTGCAGATCGGTAAGTGAGAATTTTGCGTTTTGGTTTTAAGTTAGTGCCTGTTAGCTAACGGCCGATATGCTATTATTAACCGCGATTTTAATGTGTTCTTTTTCTATTTTGTGTAGTACGTGCTAAGAGTATAAGTGAGTCTTAAGGATCTGTGCGGTTAGTTGCTAGTTGAAACGGTTGAATGTCACAGAACGGTGAATTGTTAAATATTTAAAGCGGTGATCTAATACCAATCATGAGACCACTTTTAATTCTGATTCAGTGTTGAAAGGGCCTCGAAATTACCTTTTATATAGGGTGAAGTTAAACATGATTTAATTAATGCAACAAAATTTGGTCATAGTTAAGACAAATTTAGGGGACCCGTATTTTTTATTTTTGCCAAGCGGCCCCCTCTTTCGGAGTTACAGCCCCCTGAAATATGCCCCTAAGAATAGTCTTTTTTATATCTCAGAATCCTGTTGTACGAAAATCACTAAATTTGGTACACAGAGGTTTCATGACACTTTTTCGTGGGCCCCTTGTCTTAGGAACCAAAAAAATTTTGTCGCAAATTTGCATTTCTTAAAAATTATTAGTTAGCTAGAAAAGCAATTGAATTTAGAATCTTTTCTGTCTCTTAATATTTTTTTCGTAAAACGCAATGTCTGAGGAAAATGGGCGAATCGCGATATGCATTCGATCACATTTTGACATATTTCTCGAAAACATTGCGTTTTACGAAAAAAGTATCAAGAGACAAAAAAGTTTCTAAATTTAATTGCTTTCTAGCGGACTAATAATTTATAAGAAATTTAAATATGCGATCAAACTTTTTTGGCTCCAAAGACAAGGGGGAACACGAAAAATTATCTTAAGGAGTTTCCCAGTCAAAAAGCGTAGCACCGTCAGATTCCACATGTCATAAAACCTCTGTGTACCAAATTTAGTGATTATCGTACAACAGGATTCTGAGATATAAAAAACTTGTTTTAAGAATCTGTGACTAAATTTTGTTGCATTAATTTTGGGACACCCTGTATATTAAACTTTTACAAAAAAAAATCGCGATATTTCTAGTCTTCTAGGTATATTTTAAAAAGTTTCTAGTTTGCCAAGAACAATCTGTCTATCAGTTTCGATTTTCCAATTACTAAATTTCTAAATTTTAATATCTATCTCCAACTTAAATATTCAAGTAGGATTTTTAAAAAATTACACATTTTTATTTATATTTTAGAAACAACTTTTCCCTTTAATGAAAATAAGCGCTATCTAGATATACAGGGTGTCCGTTAAAGAATGGGCCAAACTTTACCAGCAGATTCTACGACGAAAAATGGGGAAAAGTCATATACAATATTGTTCATAAACGCTTCGTTTTCGAGATATAGGGTGTTGAAGTTGAAAAACAAAATAACATTTCCTTTCATATCTATCCACTACTTCGAAATAATTTCTTGTTAAAATAACTTAAACAAATTTTTGTATGGATTTATAAATTTAAATGCCTTTTTGTAGAAAACGGTTGGCTTTAAAGAGAAGAAGGTATACCTTTTTTAAGCAGAAAAGATTTTTCCAGCCCAAAGTGGCACCGTGGCACAAAAAAAAATTTGGCATGTTAAATGCGTCCTAATAATGGTCGCTTGTGGCCCCCTCTAGAAGATACAACGAAATCGTCTATAATCCGAGTTTCTCATCTCAAAAAACCCCCTCATACGAAATTTCACGAAATTAGTTTCAAAAATATTAAAGAGAATGTTATTTATTTTTTCAACTTCAACACCCTGTATCTTAAAAAGTAAGCGTTTCTGAGCAACATTGTATATGACTTTTTCCTATTAATTTTCGTCGTGGAATGTAGTGGTAAAGATTGGCCCATTCTTTAACGGACACCCTGTACATATAAAGAGATTTTCGGAATCTTTAGCTAAACTCAAATATCGTTAGTTAATAATATTATACAAAATGAGCAAATATTATTTCTATCGGTTTTTATTATGATTATGAGTTAATATTTATTGAATTAATAGTATTGACAAAGTTGTGCTCTAATTAAAAATATTTAAGGAGCTCAAGTTTAAAATAAAAGCACCAAAACTAACATTTTTCGATTATTTATTATTTCTTAATACTTACTTTATGTCGATACAGAAATTTAAATTTAATTGTAATAAATGAAAGCGTTAGAATTTAAATTCTCATTTTTTTTTTAAATGTAAGTATAATTTTTTATTTCGGTCAAGTAAAACAAGGCCATTTTCCTGTAAATTAAAAATTGACCACTATATTTAGATCGCGCTTATTGAGTATTCAGACACAGACAAGCAACACATTGTTAGAAAACAATTTTTCTAATTCTTTTAAAGTAACGCAATCACAGCCAAATTTCAAATATTTATTCCTAACCGTTGCCAATATACAGCAAGTTAAATACTATTGTAATTTTTTAAATTGTGCTTTATTTAATTAATTTGGTTTCAATTCGGAACAAATCATTTTGGTACTGATAAGATATACAAGCTCTCAAACAAAAAGCGCAAAAAAAAACTAGAATCGGCTTTTACAAAACTTATTGATGACATCATTTCTCCTAGACGGGATACCGAGTACATATTTATTTATTTATTTTTTGATAAAACATGGCAATTTATAATACTAATCAATGTTTCTCAGAGGTTTTTTTAACATTTTTGTGTTTGACATAGCGAATTTAGTTTAATTTCACACTGTATAACCTTCGCCTCACTGATTCTTGACAAGATTCTACATCATTCTACATCAAATTTGTCATGGCATGGTAAAATTCCAAGAGGTGTAGATTCCTTATAAAGGCATTTAGTTGGGTACGTTTTTAGAACTTTTTCCCCATTTTGTAGAGTTTCTTCTATTAGTTCATAAAATTTGTTACACTATTTTCTGGCGTATTTTTTATATTATGACGAATTTTAGATAGTGATACTTACAATATATGACTATTATGTGTATGGCGTGGCATTTCAATTGAATGATTAAACGAACCTTGAAAAAAATGGTATTTAGTTCATTATTTTCGTATTGTTAGCCATGTTCCACTTCAGAACACTCTATTGCTATTCGTGAGTTAATAGAATAGAAAATAGGGATGTTCTATTGTTTCAGTGCAATTCTGACATACATATAATTATAATAGACATTTTATACCAAATAAGTATCTTGTCATTGAAAATGTAGAGCGTTTAAAAAATACAGCGAAATATTTCCTGTGAAATTTCTACAGTGTTTTTTGTAATAATAGGAGATTGTTTCTTTTGGACAAAAAACCTCAATGAATCAAGGTTCTAAAGTTACTAATTTTAAAGATACAGGGCAATGGTTTAGTGAGTTCACGACCCGTGGTGTTATTTAAACATGGTTCGATGATTTTTCGGGTTTACCTTTAACTTCCTTAGCTTAGTTTAGTCTTTAGGAATTTTTGAGCTTCCTTTATTGTTCTCGGACTAGGCTCTGCGGGGGCTAACATACCCCTAGGCCCGCCCTGGTACTGACATCGGTTCTTGTTGGTTCTAAAGCCGCTACCACTGAAGATGCCAGTAGTGGAGAACGGCGAAGTTAACATCAGGGCGGGCCTAGGGGTTCTGATAGCGGGTTCGTCCTCACAGAACCTAGCCCGAGAACAACAAAGGCAACTTAAACATTTCTAACTAAGGTTGAGGAAATGCAATGTAATCCTGCAACTGGTGGCGACTATGCTCTCACTATGCACGATACACAATGCTGCCGACTGCCACAAAAACACTTGTCATACACTCGGCCAAGCAAAGTGTCAAACTCCTTTTCACACGCACAAACGACAATGAAATGCACGAGGAACGTACCTCAGCAAAAAACCTGGATTCTTCACCGGCACGCCAGGCCAACAGGGCAGGCATTAGAGTGCCGCTAGATACGTATCGAATAAATTGATCGATGCGAAGCTTCAGATCAGAGGCAGACATATACATGTTATTGTATAATGAGGATAGCGGGATTACTAACACTAAGATTAATCCATTCAACAAGTTGTAAAATTTGACAATGCAAATAAAACCGTTTTGAACAATATATGAAACTTAATAAAATTCTTGTCTTAGTTGGCATTTAAGGAAGTCAGTGGGTTAACAGGCAATTTAAATCAACAGCAGCACATTTTTGTCAACAATTATTCCAAATCGTGGGTATTTCTGAATACTGTTTTCAAACCTGGCTTAGTTGAAATACGGACACCCGCGCGATTCTATAAAAATAGAAACTAGGTATTTTCCATTCACTGTGGCTTGTACTATTGTATATACTTTTAATAAAATAACACAAACGCTTGGGAGAATCTTTTATGACTGAAAGTAAAACTTAATTTGTCTAGGAGGCTCATAAATAACGTTTTCAACAACAGTTTGTTATTTCTTTTTTTTTTGTCTACGATTGTGTCAGAAGTGACAGTTTTTTTACTTATTTTCAGTGTAAAAAGTTAAGTTTTTATGACTACATTTTTTTAATCACCATCGAAATAAAACTATTTATTAGTATGTATTTTAGGGTGTCCCAAAAAAAAACGATTTTTTTCTTCGTGTCTCTTGTGAAAATATGTTAGTTTATCATGTTTTAAGCACCCCCTCAATAAATCAGCTCAAAAAAAAATTTTTTAGGGGTCGCCCAAGATATTTTAAAATTTCCAAAATCGTCAAAAATTGAATTTTTTTTCGAGGTTGAAAAAAACCTCGATTCTGAAAATTTCAAATCCATATTTCAATTTCTAAAGGTCACTCATAATTATTTTAACTTTCAAAGTAGTGTACCTAAAATGTTTTCGAGCGACCTCTAAAAATAAATATCAACGAACTAATATTTTTTTTTATTAAATTTGATGAACAAAAGAATAAAAATAAATTATGAGACACTTAAATTTAAAAAAAATAAAAAATTATAAATATTTGATACTCACAGTGCGGTAGTAAATTTTGCCTCGAGAAATTTTTTAAGTCTCTCGTGATTTATTTCTATTCTTTTGTTCA